GTTAAGAAGATGTTAGCTAATAGAGACAAGTTTCATCCTATAACCAGAGAACATTTTCTAACTGTTGACTGGTAAAAATAAATATTATTATTTTTTATGACAGTAAGAAGAAATAATAAATATACTTTATTACGAGCTGAAGTCATCATTTTTCAACTAGCTCAAGTCTAAGTTACAGGCTGACTTCAGGTCTGGTTTGGATCATTGTTACTTATAAATTATATATTTTTCTGGTATAAATCTGCTGTTTTACATGATTGTTGAATGAAATGAACATAATTATTAATTTATTGTAAAAACATGACAGATAATGTGTGAAACAGATCCAGTTTAGCTGTTGTTTATCTATTAGTTTGTATGTTTGGTCTGTTTCTGCTCCTCCATGATGTCACAGACACTACCAGTGGACGGGATGGGCGGGGCTCAGTCTAGTGATGTTAAAGTCTATGATTCCAACACAGCTCATACAAAAACAAACTCAGTCACAATTAAAATAGGACTAAAAACCAGAGAAAAATAAAAGTATGGAGAATAAATGTATGTAAATATGGAGAGCTTATTTTGTGTTTTAGGAAATGACAGCTGCAGCAGAGGTGGAGGATCCCAGCCCTCCTGAGACACCAGCCGAGATCCCAGCTCCAGGTCCAACTCCTGCAGGAAGAGTCAGCCTCAGCATCAGTCAAGGTAACAGCTTCAGGCTGGGGTAGAATTACAGGGCTTTGCTTGACTTTCAACATGAATACATTTGTGAATAAATATGGATATTTGGAAGAATTCTTCAGGAGAAAAGAAAAGCTTTCTTAATAAAACCAAGACAAAGATAAAACATTGTGCATTTTAGTGATAGAAAAGGTTTTGTTATAGATAACTTGTTTAAATTGAACTGCATTTGATCAGCTTTAAAATGTAAATATATATATATATATATATATACACAGAAAATCAACATTTATTTAGAGGTATGATGTGAATTAGGTTTTGGTTCAGTTTAGGTATAAATGCAGTTCCAAAATTGAATGGAAGTCAATACAAAGTCCTCGGTTTGATGCCAGTATAAGGATGTATACAGTGCTCTACATAAACTGTTTGTACTGGTTTCACTGGTGCACCTACCTTTTTTCCTTAGCTGCACCCAAACTTTAAATCACATCATTATAACATTGCAGATTTACAGGTTCGCTTTTGTTTTTAGCAATATCCATTAAGGCAATATTAACTTGCAAATATTTAGTTAATAATGTAGTTCTTTATCTGAAACAGAATTGCACAAGATTTATAAATTGAATAAAAAAATAAATAAAATAAAACATTTTAAAGTAACCATTGTTATTATTTATTTATTTTTATTGTACAATTTTTAGTTTGAACATTTGATATAAGTAGTATTTTTCTTTGTGTAAAAGAGTAAGATTAAGATTTACAAATCATTTCATTCTGTTTCTGTTTTGATGAAGATGTCATGATTTTCAGAAGCTGGATTGTAAGTTTGGGTTATTAAAACGTCTCTGTTTCCTGTCAGATGTGGATGGGCTGATCATGCAGGCTCTGCTGACTGGAGACTTTGAAGGAGCTGTGGAGCTTTGTCTTTGTGACAACCGAATGGCCGACAGCATCATTCTGGCCATCGCAGGAGGACCTGAACTCCTCCAGAAAACCCAGAGGAAGTATTTCACAACAACACACAGCAAGATAACCAAGGTAACAAAATGAGTTCTGGACTTTTTGTGTGAAATAATGAAGTAATTGACAGTATAACTGTGGATCTGTCCTGCAGCTGATCAGTGCTGTGGTCATGAAAGACTGGCAGGATGTCCTGAACACCTGTGATCTGCACAACTGGAAGGAGGCTCTGGCTGCTGTCATGACTTACGCTCAGCCTGATGAGTTCTCGTCCCTCTGTGGTTGGTCCTCTTTCATGTTTGATAAGACTCACCTGTTTGGTTCTACCTGTCCAACTCTCAACTCTAATGTTATCAGGGCTTAAACCAGGGCTTCTTAACCTTTCTGACCTCAGGGCCCAGTTTATTGAACATAAAGTGACACGAGGTCCAGTCAGACATTACCATTGTATGGATCAAAATGATAATTATTATAAATCTTGGTTTAATTTTTATTGTATTTACATCATAACTAAACTATCATAACTAACATAACTAAATTAAATACACTTACAGTTTAAAAGTAAAACTCCTGTCAAATAATCACAAGACATGATTATAACAAACATTTTATATTGTAACCTGCCCATAACTATTATTAACAAATACAAAGGTCAGTCAACAGACCACTCAGGCTTATCAGCATAAAAATATATATTTTTTAAACATAAACAATAACAAAAATAGACGATTCAAATAATAAAATTGTGGGCATAAAATAAAAAAGTTAAAAAAGTTTAATGTAAATGTTTCAAATAAAAAAACCTGTAAAAATGAATTTGATAAAGTACAAATAAAAATAAAGTCTTTTTAAACTTTTACAACCAGAAGCTGCTCTTCATATTAGTGACAAACAATAACAGTAACAACAGCTTTTTGACAAGTTTAAAGTTTCTTTAAAATACATTCAAAATGTTTAAATATAAAATACAGAAATTAATTTAAAGTGTAAATTAAAATATAGTTGTATCTACAACTGTATTTGATAATGTTTTTGAACTTTTAAAATATTACATGGTAAAAACAGAAGCTGCTCTTCATATTAGTGACAAACTTTGGTGTTTTTGATGAGTTACTTTCATTTTTGTTTCTACTTTTCATTTAAAATAAGTTTCCATTCTCARCAGGTTTCTAAGGTTCTTCTTCTACATATTAAAAAGTTGTTAAACATCTGAGTGGTGCACTACTGCTACTAGTGGTGAGAAACTGTATTACACCTTATTTAAAATCAATGTGGTCCCACGGCCCTCTGTGGCCCAAAGTTAAAAACTGTTGTTCTTCTGAGGCCCTCAAGGTGGCGCTCGGCCGCGGCCCGTGGGTTAAGAATCTCTGGGTTAAAGTGGTCCGAACAGGGCCAGATTTCTTGCTTAAGAGCGGGGCAGCTCGTCTTCACGACAGATTTCTTAAAAGTGAGAAAAAAAGTTTCTTGTTTTGGTCTTCAGTCCAGCTTGACATAGTGAGTTAAATCATGCTGCTGTCACCAATAACAAGAAGCAGAGTCAGTGTTAGTCAGTCAGAACAGAGCTGGGTCAGACTACAGGTGGTGTAATCTGCAGAACACCTCAACCCCCTACCCTACCAGAACCACCCACTCTGCATGAAGGTGAAGTGATCGAATCAATTATTAAATGTGTATAAAACATATGTGTTGGCATTTGCCTAGTTCATTGCAGCTGGGGAGGTACACTGCAACTGTCCCACCCCTCCTCATTTATGAAAATATAATTCATATTTGTGAGCCATCATATCGAAATGAGGATTAAGTCAAATTTGGCCAAAATGACCTAATTACATTTTCAGATTCTTGTCTTTAAAAGCTACATTTTGATACCTGGATCATTCTGATATCATAATTAAATCCATATATATGACTTAATTTGTCTTGTTGGTTACAATAATACATAAATATTTGGTCTGAATCCTAATTTGATGTCATTTTAATGAGCAGTTTTTGATGTCCTTATAAAGAGGAAACCTCAGATTATATTTGAATAATGAGATTTACCAGATAAAAAGAAACAAAACTTTACTAACTCACAGGGAAAATCTCAAAGTTTTATGCCACTTTTCCTCAAAATTTATTTATTATTTATTTAAAAGGGGACAGTGCAATTTAACAAAACATATGACAATTCATAAGTTAAAAAAGCCAGAATTAGCCAAACGGCTATTTTTCATCTGTAGTCCCCTGGCCATGGTGTTAAAAAGCAGCATGATACAGGAATAAAATACAGTACTAACACACAATAAATAAGAGCAGGACATTAAATTAGACATAAAAAACACAATACAACACAATAAATACAGCTTATTTTACAGCTTAAAAAAATCAGTTTTTTTGTTGCTACTGCTCAAAAAAGTGCTTCAAAATTTAGTTTTATGATTATATTTCAGACAGTTCATTCAAATGATACATTTATAAGGGTTTTATACATTATATTTTGACAAAATGCAATTTTTGTTAACACTTTAGTCAAAACACTATATTTGTCTATTTCTCCTTAAACCACTTTTGGACTTAATCCTGGTTTCGATGTGACGGGTCACAAATGATCTGTAATGAAAAAATAATTAGTATTAAATGGATACATGAGCTGGAATCCCTTTATGAAAAACAAAAAGACTTTTTGAAAGACGTCTTTGTAGAAAAAATCAAAACTGGAGACTTTATAGGTTTAATAGACAATTTCGCCTCGTTTCATGAATGTATTCAGTCGATTCTTTGATTTTGGATGTTTCCAGCCAAATAACTGCACCTCTGCAGTACAACTATTGAATCAGAGATCCCTGATTAATGTATTTATATTCACCTGTTTCACTAGCTGTGTTTACACGTGCAAAATTCTTTGATCAGATAGAAATGTATTCTGATTAAATAATCCAAATGCATCGTTTACATGGACACAGTCTGATCATAACAAGGGTTTACATGCACCAGGCTTTCATTCAGAGTAGAAGATCACAAAATGAATCAAACTGTGGAGCCCTGTAAGGATTACGTTGGAAAAAAAATGTTACCTGCACCTTGATTTACCCCGGGCAAATACCCCACTGCCCCATTAATTTTATTTAATTTAAGTGTGGATTTTTGCACAGATTCTCACAGATTGGCAAGAGCAACAATATGTTAGGATTTAATTTTTTACCACCATAAAAAATTTTAGGCTCACAATTTTCTTTTTACTCTATGCTCTGCTTTGTGCTCTTTACCTTGTTAGAGCTTCTGGGTGATAGACTGGAGGCAGCAGAGGACACCCAGCTGAAATCTCAGGCCTGTTTGTGTTACATCTGCGCTGGGAACATAGAGAAACTGGTGTCTGGCTGGAGCAGAGCGCAGAACAGCCATTGTCCTCAGTCTCTACAGGTCTGTATGCTGGACTCTATTTAAAATAAGCATTTGTTTGTGCAGGTTAGGGTAGGCTACATTTGTGTGCCACTTACATCACTGTGCCATGCCTCAGGCTGTCCCAATTCATAGGCTCTGTCTCATGCAGCCCACAAAACCCTGAAAATGTAGGCTACATCTACAGTAACTATTCTATGTGGCCAACAATATCCCAGGATTCATTGCACCATCAGCAAACTAAGAAGAAAAACAAAGACAACAGAACTGTATTATTTATTTATTGGTTGATTGATTGATTGATTGAATTTTATGGCAGAGAATTTGTTTTTAAATGTGTTTACCACCTGAGCTGATTACATTTTTGCTGCAATGAGATGTTAAAGAGATCCTCGATTAGTTGTAACATTAGATTTTATTTGATAAACATTCGATTTACTACCAGCATTGCGGACCAAGCTCTGGCACTGGTTGTACAGGGACCTAATAGCCTCAATGGGCCTGCTACCCCATATTCCCAGAGTACCCCACACAGGAGTCCCCAAGGGGCATGGTTGAACGCCTTCTCCAAGTCCACAAAACACATGTAGACTAGTTGAACTCCCATGCACCCTCCAGGACCTTGCTGAGGGTGTAGAGCTGGTCCACTGTTTCACGACCAGGACCAAAACCACGCTGCTCTTCCTGAATCTGAGATTCGACTATCCGATGGACCCTCCTCTCCAGGACCCCTGAATAGATCTTACCAGGGAGGCTCAGAAGTGTGATCCCCCTATAGTTGGAACACACTCTGTGATCCCCCTTTTTAAATAGGGGGACCACCACCCCGGTCTGCCAATCCAGGGGAATTGCCCCCGATGTCCAAGCGATGTTGTAGAGTCGCGTCAACAACGTAACCCCACAACATCCAGAGCCTTAAGGAACTCTGGGTGAATCTCATCCACCCCCGGCGCCCTGCCACCAAGGAGCTTTATAACCATCTCAGTGACCTCGGCACCAGAGAGTTCGACCCAGGGTCCTCAGGCTCTGCTTCCTCATGGGAAGACATGTCGGTAGGATTGAGGAGGTCTTCGAAGTATTCTGCCCACTGACCCACAATGTCCCGAGTTGAGGTCAGCAGTGCACCATCCCCACCATAAATAGTGTTGGTGGAGAACCGCTTTCCCCCACGAGATGCCAGATGGCAGACCAGAATCACTTCAAAGCCATTCTATGGCCTCTCCAAACTCCTCCCACGACTGAGTTTTTGCCTCAGCGACCACCCGAGCTACAATCGGCTTGGACTGTTGATACCTATCAGCTGCTTCCAGAGTCTCACAGGCCACAAAGACGCAATAGGACTCCTTCTTCAGCCTGACAGCGTCCCTCACCACCGGTGTCCACCAGTGGGTTCGAGGGTTGCCACCACGACAGGCGCTGACAACCTTACGACCACAGCTCAGGTAAGCTGCCTCGACAACAGAGGCACGAAACACGGCCCACTCAGACTCAATGTCCCCACCTCCCCCTGAACTTGTTCGAAGTTCTCCTGGAGGTGTGAATTAAAGCTCAGTCTGACAGGAGACTCTGACAGACGTTCCCAGCAGACTCCCACTATACGTTTGGGCCTGCCAGGTCTGACCGGCATCCTCCCCCACCAACGGAGCCAACTCACCACCAGGTAGTGGTCATTTGACAGCTCCGCCCCTCTCTTCACCCGAGTGTCCAAGACATACGGCCGCAGATCAGATGAAATGACAACAAAGTCGATCATCGGACTGCGGCCTAGGGTGTCCTGGTGCCAAGAGCACTTATGGACACCCTTACGCTTGAACATGGTGTTGGTTATGGACAATCCATGACGAGCACAGAAGTCCAATAACAAAACACCGCTCGGGTTCAGATTGGGGGGGGGGCCTTCCTTCCAACCACGCCTCTCCAAGTCTCACTGTCATTACCCATGTGAGCGTTGAAGTCTTCCAGCAGAACGAGGGGGTCCCCGTTAGGAGCGCTCTCCAGCACCCCCTCCAAGGACTCCAGAAATGGTGGGTAATCTGAACTGTTGTTAGGCTCATAGGCACAAACAACAGTCAGGACCCGTCCCCCAACTCGTAGGCGGAGGGAGGCTACCCTCTCGTTTACCGGGGTAAACCCCAACGTACTGGCACCAAGATGGGGGGGCAATAAGAATGCCCTCTCCTGCTCACCTCTCAGCATGGGCAACTCCAGAGTGGAAGAGTGTCCAACCCCTCTGGAGGAGACTGGTTCCAGAGCTAGAGCGGTGCGTCAAGGTGAGTCCAACTACACTCACCGGCCACTTTATTAGGTACGCCTGTCCAACTGCTAGTTAACACTTAATTTCTAATCAGCCAATCACATGGCGGCAACTCAGTGCATTTAGGCATGTAGACATGGTCAAGACAATCTCCTGCAGTTCAAACCGAGCA